ATCCCCCAAATTCTTCATCACAAGCCCCCTCAGGCTGGCTGTAGAGTCCTGCTGCTGGGTTTACTGAAGTCCTGACATCAACAGGATTCACAATGGCGTTAGTCAGACGCTCCGTCTTTTCCAGTGTTCTGATGTAAAACACTAGACTTCTTTTAAATGGTGCCAGGCTCTTTGGGAGCCCTACCTTCGCTAGCCCCTGCTTTGCACAGGCTTTTATAGCCAAACTGCAGGATTTTCAAGACTTTCTGTTCAACTTTTTCCTCTTGAGCCTCACTATAAACCTGGCTACAAGCGGCTGGTGGTAACTATGCCACAGCCTGGATGCTGACGGGCCTTAAAACTCCCACCACTGGGTTAATTCGTCTTCTGCTTTTAAACTCAGCCCTCTACCAAGTCTGAGAACCCAGGAAAAGTGTTAAAAAGTTCTTCGCAACATTGTAACATGAATGGCTCCTAGTCCAATCCACCCTACCCCCCCCCCACCAAAAAAAAATCCTCATTCCCATCTGAAACCTGTTGAACACTATCTTTATTGTCCACATTTTTGGTAATCATCACAATCACCTATTGAGGTCAGTTTATAGCACTCTGGAGCCTTTGCTAGCCCAAACTCTTCCAAGCTCCTCCTGTGAACCAGTTCCAAAGACAAAGACCCCCACTCCTGGTACTAATTTAATGCATTAGACCTTTTTATCATTTTAGTTGTAAAAATCTGCCACAAACAACTCCAGGAAAGGTCTGTTTGGGCTCACAATACCATAGCTTCTTTTCGTGGTCCTTGGCTCTGTTGTTTCTGGGCTCATAATGAGACAGAACATCAGAGTTACTCATCTGAGAGAGATCAAATATAACTTTAAAGTATAAACCTGGGACCTACTTTCTCCAGCTAGGACTCAACTCTAAAAACTCTCCCATCTCCCAGAATAACGTCACCGGCAGGAGACCAGGCATTCTCTAAAAAGAAACTTACACAAGGATATTTCGTATTCAAATTGTAAAATATTAACCTTTCCAATCAAGCCCTTCCCCACTGCAGGTCAGATCTTCCTTGTGACATCTTTATTCTTCACGGATTCTCAGTTTTACCTAAACAACATTGCAAAATTTATCTCCACAGCCTTCCTCTGTCTATCTCCGATCATCTCACTATGGCCCGTTAAATCACCTTCATCATCTGGTCCAAGTCGCACACAACTGAGGTTAATAGTTCTCAACCCTCATTTGGTGTGTGTAAAACGCTGCAGAGGCTGTTTGGGTGGGATCAGGATAGGGAAACAGAGTCTGCATTTTGACGTGACCTGGGAGCTGTGCTGAGGGTCATCTATGCGCCACAGTTTGCAAAACCCGAATATCGACCTTTTTACCCCAGCCTCTACCCTAGTCTCCCCTCACATCTGGACCCTACAGTCACTGTGCTATGTGCTTGACAGCCCTGGGGTTCTCTTCAGTCCACCTACATGTCTGGGAGGAACCCTACTGTTCCTCTAAATAGAGGAAGGTGGCTGTGTCACTGGCCCAGCCTCTAGCAGGAAGGCTGCCTGAGTGTGTGAGCTATGACCTGTAACATGATAGGGCAGGGGCTTCTGATTGGAGGGTAATACAGTGTGTCTGTGCATTTCACATCTCGGGGGCACGAGGGTGTTGTGGGCATCTGGTAAGGATGTGAGGTATCTTAGGGTATCTGTTACTATGAAGAGACACCATGACCACGGCAACTCTTATAAAAGGAAAACATTTCATTGAAGAGGCAGTTTATAGCTTCAGAGGTTCAGTCCGTTGTCATCATGGCGTGGAGCATGGCATCATGCAGGCAGACATGGAGAAATCGACACCTTGATCCAAAAGCAACGGGAAGTGAACTGTCTCACTGAGCGTGGCTTAAGCATCTATGAGACCACAAAGCAAGCCCGCCTCCACAACGACACACTTCCTCCAACAAGGCCACACCTCCTAATAGTGACCCCACAACTCCCTTTGGGGGCCATTTTCTTTCAAACCACCACATGAGGTGTGTGGTCAATTTGAGGACACGTGAGCATTGGTGTGTCCTATGTGTTCTTCGTGTGAAGCAATGTATGACTGCGGTGACAGACACGCAACTGCTTAGAGTGGGTGAGGTGTGTCTGCGAGCCGAGCAAGACGGTGTACGCTGGTGCTGTGACCGGAGATAAGTGCTATGATCACATGGTATGTGACATGCCGTATGTGTTTGTGATAGGAAGGTTGTATGTTAAGGGATGATGTGAGTTGTGCATTTGAGGGAAGTCAGTGTCACAGAGTGCGGCCATGGTGTGACGTGAGGTGTGAGCCACTAAAGGAGAGACCCAGGCTGCCGGGGCATGTACACAGTACCTGAGCAGAGGCTGGAAAGCCTCAGTGTTGTGTTCTAGATCATTCCTTCTCCTGAAGGCCACATCTAATGAGCCCTGCCTTTTAGTGAGCCCCTTTTCTACACAGCTCAATTCTACACAGCCATTCCTGCTTCTGACTTTCTTGGAACTGCCCTTGAACACAGCCCAGGATATTAAGTATCCCGGGGACAATGCATGACTTATGCATACTTCACTGCCTGTGTGCTGCAGACCTGGGGACCACAACCCAGAGGTCCCAACCTAGAAAAAGGACTGCACTCTTCCCAGTTCTCCATACGATGGCTTTTATCTCTGCCATCTTTTGAGATACCCGGTGTGCTCTGTGCCAAATCTACCCTGCTAAAAAGAGTGTAACCCATGACCTACTTCCTCCAGCTGAGCCCCAACTCCTGGAGCTTCTACCTCCTCCCAAAATAATACGGAGCCAACAACGCAAACCGAAGTCCAGAACCAAGGTGTCAGTAGGCTCAGGTTAGAATTCTCCCTACTGCTTCCCAGCTTTTGTTAGCCCCAGGCACCCTTCATGTTTCGTCTTCACGACTGTCTTCTCCCCATCTTCACACTGAGTTAGGGGCTTGTCTCAGGGCCTAACCTGTCACTGTGATAAAATATGCTCGACTTATTTATTAAGAAAGGAAGTCTGAGAGTTGGAGAGATGCTCAGCAGTTAAGAGCTGGCACTGGCAGCTCTTCCGGAGGTCTTGAGTTCAATTCCCTGCAACAACACAACGGCTCACAGCCATCTATAATGAGATCTGATGCCCTCTTCTGGCAGGCAGGTTTACATGCAGATACAATACTCATACATAAAATAAATAAAATATATTTAAATATATACAAACACACACATATATGAAGTCTATATATACATACATATACATATATATATATGTATACACACACACACATACATAAAGAAGTCGGGTTATATTCTATCATGGAGGGGAAGCCCAGTAGGAGTTGAGGAGGCAGCTGGTAACATTGCAGCTGCAGACAAAGAGCGGAGAGCAGTGAGTGTTTGAACTCAACTGGCTTCCTCTCTTTTAGGCCGCCCTCCTCTTGGCTGGGTCTTCCCATCCACTGATTAGTTGGCCTAATCAAGATAAATCCCTCACAAGCACGCCCAAAGCTCCATCTCCCAGGGGATTCTGGGGCCTGCCAAGTTGATGGTGGATACTGACCAGCACGGGCCCCTATTCCAGTATGACCCTCTAACGTCCTTGTCACATTTCGGGTACCAGTACCTGAGGCATCAGCATATCTCCTGGGGTACACAATGTCACCCATAACATTAGTTTCCAGGGGAAGCAAGGGCAAGCCAGTTCCCCTCTCCAATTCTCACCTCGACAAGGTCACCTCCATCCATGCTCCGGGCTCTTTTATCAGCTTCCATGAAATAGTTCCTGCTAATGTACACAGTCAGTGCCTGGGTCTATAGTCACCCCCCAAAACAAGTCTTGACCCTGTCCCTCACTGGCCTCACCTGAAAAGTTTAGGGGTCCACTCTCCTTCCTATACTCCTCAGCCAGTCTCTCATCCAGCTTCCTTGAATACAACATTGGGATGAGGGTGATTGACCCACAAGCCACTGAGCTCTGGTATGGGCAATCCCAGATTCTCCATATCCTGTGTCATCTGGAGCTGCCGGGCTCCTGGACTGTTCTGGAAACTGCACCAAACAACCCACAAGTTCATGTAGCACCTACTTGATGGCCAGGGTTGGGTTTCACCTGAATAAGATTGGCCCTACCTTGCCCCCTTGGAAAGAAGGGCTGCAAAAGCTCACCTTTGAGTGTGTTCCCGCGGCGGGACATTAGGGACTTAGGGACTTGGGACTCATTTCTCCCAACAAATCAGGAGAAGAGAGAGATGATATACTACAAAGGGCCCGAAGTGTTAGCACCACCCAGGAGTTCCCCAGATGGCACAGCGCCAGTGCGCTCCAAGGTTGCGTGTCGGTGAACAAAAGTTGACTCAGATGACCTCGATCGGGTGTCCATCAGTAAAAACTGAACTGCCATTCCAGCACTCAGGAAGCAGAGGCAGGCGGATTATCTGTGAGTTCAAGGCCAGCTTGGTCTACAGAGTGAGTTCCAGGACAGCCGGACTATTACACAGAGAAACCCTGTCTCGTAAAACAGAACTAAACAAAACAAGGCAAACAAACAAGAAAAGTAACTGCTTAGGTGTTAGTCTCAAGCAGCTCGCTGTCAAACACAGCTCAGGAGCGGGCCCAGCCTCCTCGCAGGTAAGCTCGGGATCGGCAGCTGGCTGGAGCTCGGGCGCCCCCTGCTGGTCACGCTGCGCAGTCGCAGTAGGAAACTAGGCGCCACACCTTCCGCAGTTAGCTGGATCTCCCGGGTCAGCTGCCTCGATGGCAACCTAATCTCGCCGCTGTGACTTTAGGGACTTGTCCTGTACCTGGACTCATTCGCTGCTGTAAGAGCACTAAAGTAGGCTAAGGTCTCTCAGAAGACCCACCAGTCCCTCGGGCACGCATTCTGCAAGTCCTAAACATCCCTGGCTGGCGTCGTCGAGGGGTGGCGGGGCGGAGGGAGGAGCCTATCAGGGTCCGAACCGGTTGGTGGAAGGGGAGGAAGAGTGGGCGGAGCTTAGTGCAGGGCGGTTCCGCGCTCTCCCTCGCTCGCAGCGAGCCCGACTCACCTCTGACTGTCCGGGGACATGACTGGCACGCCCGAAGCTGCTACCACCCGGGATGGAGAAGCCCCCGAGCGCTCCCCGCCCTGCAGTCCGAACTACGATCTCACGGGCAAGGTGGGTGGGCATTGCGCCCAGTGCTGGGGATCCCCAGGTCGGGCCTGAGGGATATCCCTTCTGGTGTCCTTTGCCATAGGACCCTGCCCTTCCCTGTCTACTCCCCTCTCCAGAAGTGTCTGGATTGAATTCAATCGTTCCCGGGTCAGCTGGGTCTGGGTCTAGAGCATAACCCCTGAGCCCATCTGGGTCTCTGGAGATCTAGGCTGACCTAGGAGGGCGAGGGGCAAGACAGAAGTACTCAGACTCCCCACCCTGTGGACAACAACCCAGTTCTCATTTGCCACACTTTGGAAGTGCTAGGAAATGGGGACTCCCTGAAGACGCAGATGCCTGCAGAGGCATCTCAAGGTTAAAGCCGTTTTTGAGCTAAGCCTCAAAGAGTGACCCCTGTCCCCCATTTTCTATGCTTTGAGCTTCCCCCACTCAGCAGCAAATGCCACCCTTTCTCTCCCCACTGCCTCCAGACCAGCCTCTTCCCAACAGTATGCTAGTGTCTCCCCTACCCACTACGCTGTGTGTAGCCAGCTCACACGACGTCCACTTGGCAATACTTAGAAGCTGAGAAAGGCACAACAGTTAGTGACAGTGGGCCACCCTCCCTCTCCTGATGGCTCTAAAGGCAGCTCTCTGGGGTGCAGCTTCTGCAGGAATGCCCTGTACAAAAGCTGATGGGAGAAGCATGGACACTAGTCTGCCCCCACCTCGCTCGCTCGTCTGTGTCCTTGGAGTAAGCAAGTACAAGGAACCCTAAAAGAGAGATGCTGAGCCAGCCCCGGTGGCAGCTTGCGCTCTTCCTCTGCAGTAGGTCAGAACTAAGTGAGGGTTGTGCTAAGTGGAGCTGAGGCCTGCTCTTGAAGGACACATACCTCCTTCAGCGTCTTGATGCCTCCCCACCCCCAGGTCTCACTCTCACTAGGAGCCTCGGGTCCCCACCCCCAGAGTTTCAGGGGAAGCCAGTCTGCCAGCCTACCCACCCAGAGCCGTTGAGATAGGCGTCCTGTGTGGGCTTGTGGCAGGAAATGGGGCCCTGTGTCTTCAGGGGAGGGGGAGCTGCTGATGGCCGGCCACCAGGCTGATGGGGGGGGGGGGGGCGGGGATCTTCCGACCTCCTTGCCCTGCAGACCTGCTGAGCTGTTTACCTAGGAGGTGGCAAGGCTGAGCAGCTGTTTGTGTTTGGTGGATTTGACTGGCTGGGTGACTGGCTGCGTGGTTTGCTCAAGGCAGCAGTGATCTGTAAAGTAAACAGGTAACAGTGCTCGCCCCATCCCCTCTGGGGCTGGAGCCCCGGAGCCATCCGAGTGCCCGGCCAGCAAAGTAGCCAACCCCCACCCTGCCAAGGCTTGACCTAGTCCTGAGTTTGAAGTTGTGTGAAAGGCCCTTGGAGGACCTTAGGAGTTCTTGGGTCTCTGGCATGCAGTACCCACCCCAGGGCCACTCTTCTCTGAGTCCTGAGTGGTTCACATCAACTTTGTTGACCCTAGACATTGACAAAGTCTAGCAAGGCCTCAAAGGAATGTGCCTTCCACGTCCCACCTATTAGGATGGGCAAACTACAGAAGAAGAAAAAAATTAATTTCCCCAAAAGCACACAGTAAGCTTTTAATAGTATAAGAATCCTTTCCACTCAGGCCCACCCCCACCAAAGTCAACTATTAGATCCCACAACCTCGTATCTTTAGAAGGAAAGCTTTTTGGTTCCACCATCAAGTTCAGAGAGCCCAATAATTCTGCCCTTATTAACAGTCTAACCAGGCAATTGGGAACATTCTGGCTTTGAGTCTACACTTCCATTCTCCAAGATGGCTGAGCAAAGAAATTCCCCCCAACACACACACCATCCCTACATTTTCCACCACGGTGAGCCAAAGATGCCAGTTTGCAACCATTCACCCCTCTTAGGAGGTTTCTGCTAAAAACAAAACAAAACAAAACAAAAAAACTCACCAGACTGTCTCCCCAACTCAGAATAAATGTCAACCTTCCCTAATTCTTGCAAGCCTATTGGGAACATAAGCCCTCATTAGACACTTCCAAATTAATGTCTGACCCAAAAGGAAAGTCCAACAATAGTAATTTAAAGACAATGTTCTACCCGTTAAGTCTTTTTAAGTCTTTTTTTTTTAAAGACAGGGTCTCACTATTTAGCCTTGGCTAACCCTCAAACTCACTGGCCTAGAACTCAGATATCTGCCCACCTCTGTCTCTCAAATGCTGGAATGAAGGCACCGCCATGCCCTCCCCATCCATCAAGTAGGCTCCTGGGTGAGAGGTCCTTTTCCCTATGCAGGAGCCCCACCTACCTGTGTACACCTGCGTGTACACTCAGAAGAGCAATGTCTGCACTGCTCAGCAATGGGCAAATGTATGCCCAAGACATAGACCAATGTCTTGGGATCTCGGAGCACGTTTGGAGGTCTCGGCTTGGCTTTGAGGACTTCGGCTAGTACAAGAGGCTCAGAGGGAAAAGCCGGGGGGCGAGGGGGGAGGGCTGAGGCAAGGAGAATGGAGGAGAGGAGAGAAGCAGGGCAAGAGCAAGGGCAGAATCGTTGAAGGCACATGCTCCTCTGTCCGACCTACGTCCTTCTCTGGGACATTCTTCTCTGGAATCCCGGAAGACCTCTTCTCCTCCCCAGCTGCCATTAACTGCCTCTGCCCCCATCTCCTAGGTGATGCTTCTGGGAGACTCGGGCGTCGGCAAAACCTGTTTCCTGATCCAATTCAAAGACGGGGCCTTCCTGTCCGGAGCCTTCATAGCCACCGTCGGCATAGACTTCAGGGTGAGGTGGCTGCAGGCTCCTTCTGCAGCAAGCTCAGGTTCAAGAAGGGTGCCCTCTCCTTGTCTTTGACTCCTGAGGGCACCAGAGGCTTACTGCCTGGGAGGCCCCAGAGGTACTCCCACCAGGACCACGGAGGCGCCAGGTCAAAGGAGTCTGGGTAGGGCTGGCGTCTTGTTCACCTTCTCTGCTCTTGGATAGCATCCCTGAAAAAGTAGTCTCATTTCATGGGGTCTAAGTCCTGAGAACCCCTGGCTCATAGTCATGAGTTGGGCCCCTGTCAATTTCAGTTTTCAAGAAATAATTACCAAGAAGCTGAAGGGCTGGGTTCAAAGATGAAGGTCTCAGGGCTGTTCCCCTCCCGCCGCATCCCTGATGACTCTAAGGTCTCTATCTATCAGCCTATCAGTGTGCAAGCAGGACCACTGGTACTTCACACCTATGGATCCCAGAGGGATAGGATCTAACCCCAGCAGGCAGGCCCACCGGAAGCTTTGCACCTCTCCCAGTGGATGGAGGGCTGAGGTTACATTGAAAGGATTATGGGTAACTGGGGGACAGACGGTCTTGCAGGACAAAGCTCTGAAGGCCTCAGGGTATAGCGGGTGCCTCATCTCTAAAGGTGAACTCTGGGAGACCATGACTGAAGTGGAGAAGGGTCAGATCCTCCCACACAGTCCCTTTGCTGCCTGCTGAGTTCAACAAAGAACTAGGCACGGCTGGAGAGGTGGCTCAGCCAGCGGTTTAAGAACACCTGGGCACTCTTCCAGAGGTCCGGAGTCCCAGCAACCACATGGCTCACAGCGAACTAGGCAGGTTTGAAGGTTCCCCTTGCTCGACTGAGTTATGAGAACAAGGAACAGAGGAATCTTATCCCCGCTGCTCTACCTGGGTGATCTGACTGAAGATGTCTCAGGCTCACCACACCGCCTACAGGCCTGGAGCGAGCCCCAGTACAGGCTGTTGACAGACCTTGGGGGCCAGCCAACATCCCCTCCCCACCCTCTGCCCTTTTCTCTTTCAGAACAAGGTGGTGACAGTGGACGGCGCCAGGGTGAAGCTTCAGGTGAGAGCAGTGCCTGGGAGGGGGGAGGGGCTTGCACTTTGCTTCTCAACCTGAACCACAGGCCTCCTCCAGCCCTGCCCTCAGTCTGGGGTAACTTCCTGTGGGGCCCATGAGAGGAAACTGCTTTTCTTTGTTTGATATCTGTAGAAAAAGCAGGTCCCAGGCACCCTTTCTCCTATCAAAGGCAACTCAAAATGCCCTCAACCAGGCTTAGCCTCCCTCATTGCCCTTCCCCCCTCCAGTTTTCCGAGTCTCTACTGCTCTAAGTACCCCAATCTCTGGGCTGGAGAAGGAAGAGGAAACAGTAGTTAATGGGTTTAAGACCCCAGAAACACCACTGATGTCATCAGATGCATGGGAGCCCTGTGAGATCCCACAGAAAGAAACAGCCTCCCCACTCCACCCCCACCCCCACCCCCACACACAGACACCTCTCACACCACAGCGCGAGCCCTCCAGTCAGCAGCTAGCCCTGCTCCTTCCCACCTCTCTGTCTTCCTAGATCTGGGACACTGCAGGACAGGAACGCTTCCGCAGTGTGACCCACGCGTATTACCGGGATGCTCAGGGTAAGTCTGGGTCCTCTGTTCCCTCCCCACTATGCAGCACTTCTGCTGATGCCCTGATCTCCTCTATCTGTCCCCCTCCAGCCTTGCTCCTGTTGTATGACATCACCAACAAATCTTCTTTTGACAACATCAGGGTAGGTCCTCCCCTCCCAAGGCCCTTCCCCTGCCCCAACAACCCTGCCTGTCACGAGCAGCCAGAATAGAGCCTCTGCAGAGCCAGATTGCTTCAATTCTGTCAAAACAGGTTGACCATAGAACCTGTCATCTCAGCAGTGACTGGGCATTTCATTGCCACGTAGGCATGGGAACCAAGCAGGCTGATGTACCCTGTGTTGATGGTATAGCCCTGTGGTTCATGAGTGTGTTTTATATCAAAGTGTTCAGAACAGTCCCAGCTCCACCCTCCCTGGACGATTATCCACAGGGACCCAGGGGAAAGCCCAAGCAGAAAACTCCACATGCATCCAGGCCAAGTTGCAACTCAAGAAGACAGAGTGAGTGACTGTGTCCTCACAGCTGAACCACCAGAGAGCAGAGGCCATAGCCAGCAAATACAAGCGTGACTCTGGGCCCAATGCTGAAGAGGTTTTATGTGCTTCTAGACCTTGAGGGCTGGTTACTGAAAAGCAAACTGAGGGGCTAAGACAGACAGCTATGAAAGGACAGAAACTGCATGGTACTGCTACTTCCAAGCCTATACTCATGGCAGACATCACTAATCGAGCTCAGTACTTTTTGCAGAAAGGCAATACAAAAATGAAACCCAAGGCCTGTATATGAAAGACAAGTGTTTCTCTACTGTATAACATCCCCAGCCAAGCTTAGCCATCTCCACCTCCACCCCCAGTTCCTGTTTGTGGCTGTTGTGGGATTGTTTTGTTTTGAGGCAGGGTCTAAGTATGGTAGGTAGCTCAGGCTGGCCTCCAACTCTGTGCCCCGGCCTCTGTGCAGGAAGGATAAACTCTGTTGCCATACCTGGCCGATCCCATTGCCTTTGATTACTGAGCCCTTTTGTGGTTTGAGACTCCTAACAGAAGCCCTCTAGGAGAAGAATCCCCTGGTCCTTGGCTCAGCCTCCCTTCTCCCACAGGCCTGGCTCACCGAGATTCACGAGTATGCCCAGAGAGATGTGGTGATCATGCTGCTAGGCAACAAGGTGAGTGGCTCTGTGGCAGAGCCAGTGCACTCTGACCCTTCTCTCCCTCTGCTGCTTCAGCCCCATCCCCACCCAGCCCCACAGCCACCTAAACCCTTCCAACAGGGGACCCTGAGGTCTCCAGTGTGGGAGTCAGACATGTCTTGTGACATCTGCCTGTCCCACCCCAAAATTTTGCTAGTAGCCCCTTCCACCAACAGCCTAAACCGCTGCCAGCGAGCTGCCAGGTGACTCAACTGCCAGCCATCACTAGATCATTATGGACAGGTCAAAGGTCAGGGAATAAGTACAAAATGTTTAACTCTGCTGCTGTCACCCGATGACGTTGGGTCACCACACCCTTTGCTAGTATCACACACCTCCCCTAAGTGCTAAGGGCGTGCGTGGGTACACAGCCTGAGCAATGCAGAAGCAGAAATCCTGGCCCCAGGCCAATCACACCTGCCTGCAGTCCCTCAGGCTACCAGAAGAGGGCGGGCAGTGCTTGCTCCTGGGGCAAAAGATGGGCTTCCTGGGGTCAAGGCTTCCTTTCCCTGGAGTTGATTGACTGACCCACATGGGCTTGACAGGCGGATGTAAGCAGCGAAAGGGTGATCCGTTCTGAGGATGGAGAGACACTAGCCAGGGTAAGTGACTGCCAGTGGGTTTGGGGGAATGGTGAGGGAGGCCATAGCAGGCCCTGAGAACACTCTCTCCCTGGCAGGAGTATGGCGTTCCCTTCATGGAGACCAGTGCCAAGACTGGCATGAATGTGGAGTTGGCTTTTTTGGCAATTGCCAAGTGAGAGCTGAGTGGGGGAGGGGGGGTGCGGGGGAGCCTGGGTTGCGGTGGGAGGCAATCTGGGAAGCCAGTGGGGCGGGGAGGGGGAGTGTTAGGGAATGCCTGGCTTTACATTCCCAGCTCAGCTCATGATTCTTCCTGTTCTAGGGAACTAAAATATCGGGCAGGCAGGCAGCCTGATGAGCCCAGCTTCCAGATCCGAGACTACGTGGAGTCGCAGAAGAAGCGCCCCAGCTGCTGCTCCTTTGTGTGACTCTAACAGCAGACTCTATAAGGGGCTAAGAGGAGGCCCAGAGACCCTTGGAATGCAGTTATTTTAACTGCCAAGCCGACTAGGAGAGAGTTGGGGGTCCAGTAGGCAGCCCTGTCCAGGGAGGTAGCTGCCACCCTAGTTTCTCTAGCTTCCCTGTGTCATGGGAAGGTTAAAATTCCCATACTTTATCTTAATATATATAAACTAATATCAAAAAGGGCACCAGTGTGCCCCCCCCGAAAAAAAAAACAAAATAGGTAGGGACTTGATGGTCCTTTTGCCTTCTGGGACTGGATTCTAAAAGACTGGATCCCCCTCCTATCATGGGCTTTACTGCACCAGCATGGAACCAGGGGACACCAAAGTACTGCTAGGGTGTAGGAACTGGTTGTGATCCTCACTAGGGAGGCTAGGGAGACTTCTCTTCCTCCAACTCCCCAGGGGACACCCTCTCCCAATAGGAAAGGCCTCAGTGCTGGGAGCTAGCCCAATGCCTCAGAAAAGATAAAAGTGGAGATTGGGGTGGGGGGCTGTAAGAAGAATAGCAGTCATGTGGGTGGGGTCTGCTCACAGCTACCTCTGGCCCTCCTCACCCTCCTTCTGGAAGCAAACCCCTTTTTCTCTAGCACACAAGCACAGTGGGGTACCTGAAAACATCACATTCTATCCTCTGGACCTTACATCCCAGGGGACACCCCACCATCCCATGGGAATCTCTCTCATCAGCTTTCTGCCTGGGTTCCTAGACGCCAGAGGTCAGAGCCAGGAAAACACTTCACTTTCCTTCCTTCCCAGACCTGTGACAAGGTGGACAGCACCACAGCTATTTAAGGCAGAGGTAAGAGCCAGATAAAGAATTTGCTGGCTCCTAGAATGGGTGGGAGTCAGAAGTGAACAACCCCACCATTCAATTTTTCTAAGTCCCAGCTCTCTGTCTCCTCCCTGCTCTTTCCTTTAACTTCAGACCAACACTAGGACCAAAACTGTTTTATCTCCACATCCACTAAATCAGGTGAAAGGGTGGGAAGCCTTCTGTTTCTGGGTGAACCAATGTACTATGTTTGTGTGGGAAGGGGAAGGTAGTTTGGTCAAGCTTCGGGTATGGAGACGGGCAGTAAGGAGGTCCTATAGGCTCGAGGCCGTATGTCTCCCAAAGCCCTGACCCTACCCTTAGGACGCTGGAGGTGTGCAGATCCATGACCCATAGGCACCTTTACTGCAGCTCTGTAGGCTGGGCAGTGACTGGGACTCCTATAAAGTGTGCACTGCACATTTCTGAGGTTACTGCATTTGCTTTCAAGGCAGAAATCTTGCTCTCTGAGCAGAGTCAGCACTCTAAACTTGGGTTGATAAGAAAGCCCTCTGTGACCTCTCATGGGCAGATCAAGGAGGAGCCTGGGCTTGCCTCTGCTCTTCTGGGACTTCTAGCAAGTTGCAGGAACTCCAGTCCCGTAGCTCTGGGTCTCCAGCGTTTGTGTTTTTCAGAATTAAATTGCAGTATTTTGGAAAGTACACCCTGATGTTTTTCCTGTTTGTTCCCAGAGGAAAGAGGGATTATGTTGGAGAGGTTGTTACTTGGCATGTTGTGGGAAACTGTTACCCAATGCCCAAATCATTCTCGCCTCATTCTTCGGAGTCCTCATAGGCTCACCTCACCCTTAACTGACTGCCCTCCTCCAGACCAACGCCTCTGCAGGCAAGAGGGAGCTGAAAGGCTTATCTCACAGTCCAAGTCGTTTTCTTTCTCTGTTGAAAAAAGCCAGGTCTCCTTTCCCTCTAGAGTGACTCCTGAGATTGACTACCTAGCTGTCTCTCGCCCCGCCCCCTCTCCCTAGCCAAAGGTTGCTGCCAAAACCAAGCCTTTTATTCATTATTTATTGATCTACCCTCAGGCCGGCCTGTCTTCCTGGTGGGCTATACCGATCCTTGGTCTATCTGCCCCGCCCTACGCGTTCCTAGAAGGGGTCAAAGCCCAAACCTTCTCTGTATGCCAAGTCCTGGGATAGCGCCGTGACTCCACGAGTAGAAACTTTGTTACTTAAACAACCCCGCTCCAGAGTTATTCTGTTACAGTTACCCTGTTACAGTGTTACTGTGTTACAGAAGACATCCGTCCGGTTCTTAGACTGGCCCCGGGGAGGGGGGGTGGGAGGAGTGAGTGGGGGTGTGTGGGATGGTTTCCCCGACAACTGTTGCTTCCCCCTCCCCCCACTTCGAGCCAAGCTGTGCAACAGGCTTTGGTTGACGGCGGTTAAAGCATTGAGGATCCTTTACCCCGAGACTGACTCTTCTAAATCCGCCTCCACGGCGTGGAAACCAGAGTGCAGCCCGCGAGGCCCCTGGGCTCAGTACCTGGAACCCGGCCCCGGTCCCGGCCCCGGCTCCGCCCCATCGACCCAACTCCGCACTTGGTAACAAACACTTCCACTTCCTGGGCTCTCTTTTCTTCTCCCGCTGCGGGGAGCCGCGCCGAGTGCAAGCCACACCCCCACAATTCTGATTGGCCAGATATGTTCACCCCGGCCCAAGAGCTCGAGTTAATGGCTTTTGATTGGTCCACGGTGATTCACACCCACGGCACAGCCCCGCCCCCGGCTTTAGGAGCTGGGGCGGGCTCTGGAACGCTCAGACACCGCGCCGGGCGGGGATTGGCTCCCTCCCTTCCTGTGCGTTCGCTACCGCGGTTCCTGGGACACCTGCTCACTGTCCCCAGTGAGGTGCTCAGCTCCCGACTCGAGCTCCGCTGAGCGGGAAGAAAGGCCGTGCGTCCCCGGCCTTCGACAGGAACCGCGCTGAGCGTTCGCAGGGCAAGATGAGCGTGATCGCGGCAGCCGGGGAGCCTCTGCCCCGGCTCTGCTGCCTGGAGAAGGGTCCGAACGGCTACGGCTTTCACCTGCACGGGGAGAAGGGCAAGGTGGGCCAGTATATCCGACTGGTGGAGCCCGGCTCGCCGGCCGAGAAGTCAGGGCTGCTGGCCGGGGACCGATTGGTGGAGGTGAACGGCGAGAATGTGGAGAAGGAGACACATCAGGAGGTGGTGAGCCGCATCCGCGCGGCGGTCAACTCTGTGCGCCTGCTGGTGGTCGACCCCGCGACGGACGAGCATCTCAAGAAACTGGGCGTTTCGATCCGGGAGGACCTACTGCGCACCCAGAAGTCCGAAGAAGCCGATCAGCCGGTCGCCACTGTCTCACAGGAGACTGGAGAACAGGCCGAAAAGAGCCACCTGGAGCGGGTAAGTGCGAGCTGAACTGGGTATGGGACTGGGATTCCGAAAGAGACTCGGGCGCCCCGGACGTCCAGCACTTTCTGAAACTGGAGCAGCGAGGAGGAAACGGCTTCCGCCCTCTGACCCGAAGCGATCGCTGCTCCTGAGGCTAGCTTCGGACTCCGACCCGCGACCCCGTAGCCTTGTCCGTGTTCGCCTGCACTTTCAGTTCCCTTGAACTTTGGGGAGGTATCGCAAAAGAATTCAGTTCCTTTCTCGGCTCCCATTACTTGAATTCTGTCCCCGATCCCGGACGCCCTGGAGCCTTTTTCTGGGCTGTCCTCATCTGCAGCTAAGCTCAACACTTTCTCTCTCTCTCTCTCTCTCTCTCTCTCTCTCTCTCTCTCTCTCTCTCCCCGCTCGCTCTCTCGCTCTCTCTCTCTCTCATTCTGTGTCTGTCTGTCTGTCTGTCTGTCTGTCTTTCCCCTCTCGTCAGTCCTTGTAGGTGGTAGCTAAAACTCGGTTCCCTAGTTTGTGCTTCATTAACTCGCAACGATTGGACTTCATCCTTCTCAAGTCTAAAGTGACTTCTAAGAAAGAGAGGAAGTCCCTGCGTCTCCGAGCGAGGGGTGGGGGTGGGGTACAGGGAGGAGGCACACAGGCGTCTTGGGGGTGGTGGCTCTGCCACCCTGGAGGATTTATGGTCCTCTGGAATGTGAGGAGTAAGCGCTCCCTAGCTGGTATCTGGGAGCCTGGTGGGAGGACCTTGGAAAAGGAGGAGAAGGAGAAAGATGGTTGGTGGGAGGGAGCAGTCGGAAGGCCAGGCATCGTCCTTCAGAGTCCACGTGGGCAGGTGGTCTCGCCCTTATATTGTCACTGCTCACCCCAGTGTCCTGATAGCAAGCCGGCCGGTTGGATTTGCTCGTGTTTGGTATTTCCCCCAAACAACTCCACTTTGGATCAGCTGCCGGAGGGGCAGCTGGCAAAACAGGAGCTGTTGTGCTGAGCTTCGGATCCCTAGAGAGCCAGGAGGGAGGGAAGCCAGGCTCCGGGCTCAGACTGTGGGAGCAGGATCCCCTCAGTGCGCACTACCTGGTAGCAACATGTGGCAGCGGTATCTATGGAGCCAGGAAGATTCTCCCTCTACAGAGAAAGGGCACTGTTCAGCCTTAAGGTTGAAGGTGGAGCCTGAGAATACCAACTGGTTTGGTGGAAGTGAGGTCACCAGAAGCCCTGTTCTGCCAGAGCTTGGTGCTGGGGATGCCAGGGCCACCAGGTTCCCACTTCCTGCCAGTGCCAGTTGGCATTGGCAAGCAGTAGTAGAGCCCCTGGCAGCAAATTGGAACAGGTGACCTCTGCTCCTAGGCACAAACCCAATTTGAACCTTGTCCCGGGTCCACTGATTCACCATTACCTTCACGTCCACCCCCACCCCCTATTTTTTTCCTTTGGACTTTAGCATCAGGGCAGATAACCAGCGGCCTCCCCTCACCCTCCCGATACACACCGAGTTCCAGTCCTGCTCAGCTCCTCCCCTTGCCCTTTCGGTGGTGGTGCTGGGTGCTGGAGGGCCACGTCGAGAGAGGCTGCTGTGGAAGGTTCTACATCAGACTGTTTTGTATCTAAAATGGCAGTGGGCTGGGGCTTCCTCTTGGAGATCTGTCCTGAGTCAGCATCCCCCGGTGGTAGTAAGACCACCTACATGTGTGTCGATTTTTAAGGCCAGGAGACTCAAAGTAGTGCCATTCTGGAGATACCATCATAGGACTTGGCAATCACTTTCTGAGCTTTGATTTTTTTCCCATGTATAAAATAAGAGCACTGGGCAACATGGTCCGTCTTTCCGGTAGTTATCAGAACAGCAGCCGGTACTCGTACCCTGCTAGATGGTTAAGGTCATCGTTGCCCAAAGCTTGAAAAGTTCAGTCGCTTGAGCTTTGTTGTGCTAAACTTCTCTGTATAGAGCTTCCATATCTTGGTGTGGTAAGCTTGCGGATGGCACTCCCCCATGCCTCATCCAATATTGCAAAATATGCCAGTAAAGGCTGAGGCATCCCTGTCCTCTATGTAGAAGGTGCCCAGCTGAGATTTGACAGTTAGTTTTAGCTGGGGTTTGTTTGCAGAGCGGGAGCTGCTCCGTTAACCTCCTGGGTTCTCATGTGACAGAGAGGTGTCAGCCAGAAGATGCTGTGGTGGAGACTGAGTGGCATCTTGGTGGGCCAAGAGCAAACAGGGCAGGTGAAGAGAGGTGCCTGAAACATTGGCTATCCCCACTGGCCTGCTGAGGCCCAGAGAGGTAGAGGTTTCTTTATTGGAAAAGCAGAGTTTTATTATGTAATTCTGGCTTATCTGTAGACCAGGTTGACCTCAACTCATAGAGGCTCTCATGCCTCTGCCTCCCAGATGCTGGGGTAACAGGTGTATTCCACCACACTGAGCCCCCACCTTGTTTCCAAAGACAGCATCTCACACTAAAGCCTGGGACTTTTAGATTTGTAGGGATTAGTTGATTTGTTTTGAGACAGGACCTCACTACATCACTTTGGCTGGACTTGGAACTCTGTGTAGACTGGCTGGCCTTGAACTCACAGAGATCCTCCTGCCTCCTGAGTGCTGGGATTAAAGGCACACCAGACCAAATTTATGAATCTGGCTAAGCTGGCCACTGAGCCCCAGAGATCCTCCCGCCTCCACCTCCCCAGCAACAGGATTATAAACCTAAACCTCTATTGCTAGCTTTTTTTTGGGGGGGGGGTATCTGGGGATTGAACTCAGGTCCTCATGCTTGTACAGCAAGAACTTTACTGTCTGAGCGACCTCGCCAGCCCTTTGCCTGCTTTCCTGTTACCTATCCCCACCAGACACAGGACAAGGCCTAAATCCTTGAATTTTGGCCTAGAGCAGGGCCTGGGCAGACCTGAGCCAGCTCAGCTGTACTAGCTGACCTGCCTGGAGCCCAGTTTCTTCATCTCCCTAAGCCTTTGTTTCCTATTGTGTAAGTTGGGAATGACGGCAGTGACCTCATGGGGTTATTAGGATTACATAAGGCTGTGTGTAAGTCACCCAATACTGGCAACTAAGCAAGTGCTCAGTAAATGTTGACTGTTGGCATTTGAAGTAATAAATAGTTCATAGCGCTGATTCCTCCCTACCTGAGCAGGTGCAGCTGTGGCCAAGCCCAGTGGTCAGAGTCCTCAAAGATCCCTGTTGTTTAATGTTGATGTGATGAGCTGGGTGTGGTGGCACAGGCCTATAATCCCAGCACACCAAAGGCAAAGGCAGGAGGACTGCTAGCTCAAGGCTA